TACTGAGATTGATGATGACTCGATGCAGATGTGAAGCTTCAAACTGTATAAGCCATTGGGTTTTATATAACTTAATGTTTAAATCATGTCATATCTTTATCAAAATATTTTAGTTGAGTGTTGTATAAATGTTACTAATATGTAATGCACTACACTGAAATATTAAAGATATAGTGATGAAACTTTTAAAGTTACTGTACTGTATATTTCTTCATTATAACAGTTTTTGCTTTAAGAAACATTTTGAGCTTATTTACCTAGTAAAGTACAGAATGGAGTTTTATCATATGCATTATTGCTACTTTTTTCAAGAAAAGTTTTTCACTTTTCAAAGCTTTCCTACAAATTTTTTGCTTCCTATTTCTTTTCATGAGATTGATGATATATGGTTAATATAATCCAATAACTTTATAATTTCTAAAAAGCTTTTAAGCTTCTAGCATAAAAGTACACTATAGGTATTTGATTCATTTGGTTATATTGCCTTGCTATGACATATCTACTTGCACTTCATCATTCTTGTATGAACAAAACACCAGATGTGGATACTCAGAGAACAAAATGCACCACCAACTGCTTATGAAATTTATTATTGAGGTGAAAACTGTGTTAATCATTCAAATTGTGTACTTATTTGCAAATATAGGAAAAACAAAACAAAGTGAAAAAGAAGGATAGAAGTATTAAAACTACAAATGAATTATAAACACCATTGGAAGCATAAGTGTTTTGATGATTATTTGCATTTTGCCCAATTCATATATCAATACAACAAAATCAAAATGTGCTACAACTTTACAAGTATTTGATGCAGTTGCACTTCAGAACATCACAAAAAGGTTACTTAAAGTAATTTCTATACAATATTGTTTGTTTTCATTTACCACACCTATGCAGACTTGAGTCTTTGAAATTTAATATGAAACTCAATTACAGAAAATCCGTAAATATCCAGAGATTTAATATTTACTTTTTTAAAGAAACAAGTAAAAATCCAACAATTGTGGCGAAAAAAGCCATTGCGCCCATTGCATCATGAAAAGAAGCAAAATAGCAATGATAACAAATAAGCTAACTTCTCTCTCGTGAACCGTGGAGATGAACTGTGATATACTTTTTGTATAGACTAAAGAGTTTAATCGATCAAACAAGTTTGACGCTGGTAAAAAACGATGCACATCTGCATTCATACATGTGTAGCCGACATATAGCTCTTTCGTCGATAGTTTTAAATGCATCCTCGTAGGAGCACATAACTGACAACCACAGTTGACTCTCTGTTATGAATTTAAGGTTTTTACCTTGATTTTCATCAAAAAATTGCTTGCCGAATCCCAAATACACACATACATTTTCTTCACTCTTTCCTCAGGAGGGAGTGGGAAATTGTGAAATTTTCGGAAAAGCGATCAATTTCGGTAAATCTCAGCGGCAACGGACGAAATCCGCCACTTTTTTGGCGTCATCAGATATCTAAGGCCGCGCTTGAGATAGCCGCTCCAGTTATTATAGAACTCAATGTTCAAAACTTTCACTTTAAATTTTTTTCAATATTCACTCCCTCCTGATTTATCATACTGTTTATATGAACGATAACAAGTGAAAAAAAAACAATTACGATACCGACAGCATATCATGTGAAAATAATGCTTCAGCATTGCGTGAAAAACACAGTACACACACACATCAAAATAAAGAAGATCGACGGTAGAGAAACGCATATTTTGGATGAAACATTTAAGTTATTTTATGACATTTTAACCTTTTAAAAGTGAAATCAAACGGCATTAGTAGACCTGTCAATCTCGTCAAACTTATACATTATTTCATGCTTCTGTGTGTTAGACTGTTTGTAAACAGTTTGGTGCAACTATTTCCCTTGCTCAAATGGATAAATCTGTGTTAAAATGCTCCTAAAGAAGCGAGAAGATGTTTGCTTCAGTCCTACGACATAAGTCAACTGAAAATTTAAAATAGATAAATATCATAAGTGTATTGTCATTACCTGATAAATCTACTGAAAACTCATAAGGAAAAGTATGTTGAACTAGAAGGGCTACAAAAAAGAAAAAAATTCAAAACACCATGATACTGGAAATTGGTCGGAAATTTGTATTTTGTAAACTGCTTGGCAAAACCTTGAATCTATTACTGAACAGAACTACATTAATTTTCCATTGAAATTACAAACTTGGAAACTAAAGTGCATTGGTTTCTCTGACAAAAACACTCTGTTTATTACTGCATGAAGGCAAAATAGTTAATTGACAGTGTAGGTGAAAAAATTTATCAAGTTCTATAGATATTGTTGTACTTTACTTACAGTCTTTTGGAATTGTGTAATGTATGTCAAGAAAAAGATATATTTTTCAAAATGAACTACTAGCAACTACTTCCTAACTTAAGCTTTGGGAATTATTTATATGTACAATGGGAATTTGATTTGAAAGACTTACAAATCAAGTTTCTCAAAAATAGTATTTTGTACAAAGAAACTAAACATAATTGGAAAGGTCACATGTTGAAGACAGACTTTGCTTCTTTGACTAGGTTCCTTGACCATGAGCAATTAAATTTGTTTACAATTTGTTTAAAGAACTCTTTTTATTATTTTCACTAATTCTTCATAAGGCACAAAGAAGTTCTTTGCCATCTATTTTTTGCTTCTTCTACTTTCACCTTCATTGTAACCAATGCATCCGATATGAATTTGTGGATCACCTGGAATCATACCAAGTATGGATTTGGTGAGATGAGACAATAATATGTTTAATTTTTCATGCATATTAATGATATAATCATAAGCTATTGTTAAACAAAAACTTCAAGGTAGGAGCAAATCTTTGCACATTGTTCAACACATTTCTTTTATCTTGGTTTGGAAGTAGTAATCTGTTTACTATAACAATAAATACTTCATTTACAGAAACACTAAGTAGTACTTTAAAACTGTTTGCATAAATCCAACTTTCCAATCCTATTATAATTGTCTACACTATACAGTCAGTCAAATTGAGCTGGCAAGCAGTCTAATAGTTATTTTTATTATACAACATATACCATAGTTCTCATTAATTTTGCATGGCACTGCATTCAATTTCAACACAACTCTGTTGTAAACTTTCCCTTCATATTTTCAAAAAAATATGAACAAATTCTGCCCCATTTTTGGGAGGTAAACTCACATCAAATCAGGAGAGTTTACCTTGATGATGATACAAGATGGATGCAAAACTCGATAAAAATTGGATGCTTCGCCTCGTCTGGCGAGCGATAAAGTGAAGAACAAACAAGACTGGACCAAAATAACTTTAAACTAAAACTTAGTAGTAGAAACACTCTTCAAGTATCGTGTTAAAAACAAAATAGTAAAACTACTAATGTGCTACTTACCGGAGTAATGAAATGTTTCCTTTTCTGTCGCTATTTCAGCATCCGCAAACCACGGAAGCTTGCAGATTGTTTAATAAATAAATTTTTTAAAAAGTGTTCGTGTTTGCAAAACAAATAGTTATGATATTTTCTATACTCGCAATCGTGGTTGTCAAATCAGGGCGACAAAATTTTTATTTCACGAGCCCGCGTCTTTCCGCTGACTTTGACAACCAAAATCCGCCATGTTTTTGACCACACGGCCGTGCACTAATAATTTATAGTAATTTGGTTGACGTTACCCCTCCAGGTCTTATAGAACTCAATGGCAAATAGCCACTAAAATAGCGGGAGTTCGACTATAAAAACAGCAGATTTGAGCATGCGCCAAGTCACTTAGCCAACCAGAATTCAAAACTTCTTATATAGAATTGTATTGTATGTTCTGCCCCATTGAGTTCTATAATAAGTTATTATAGAACTCAATGTTCTGCCCTCTGAAGATAGGCGGAATACGTGGTAAAATCGCGCGAGTATGCATTGAAATGTGCGAGGAAAGGCAGTAGCTAGGTTACAAGACAAATCTTGAGATTTTGCGATATTACGATTACGAATCACAGAATAAAAGCGTGAAAATGAACGAATAAAACATAATATTGCGAATTGTTTGTGATATATTTAACTCATCTCTAAATAGAATATTTATTATTTTTTGAGAAATTTCTACTCCCGCCGGGCGGGAGTAGCGGAACCGCTAGCTACGCACTGCCCGCAAAAGCGATCATAATGCAGGCAAATCAACCATCGCTAAACTGGTTTGCCTTTTAATGTGTGTGCACTAAATTTTTACGTGTGAAGGTATTCATTTGGTGAATCATTTGAGTAATGTATTCTTATCTGACATCAAAATGGGTAGTGTCTTATCAAGGCAAAGTTATAGGAGCGTGCGGCAGCAGTTTGATTAAGAATGGATCGTTGATAAATCTAAACTTGATACTTGAGATAATTTTTCGTAATCGCGATAGTTAGAGCACAGTTTTTACAAAGTCATCCAAAGTTAGAGTCAGTCAAAACTCCTTCTGTGTATAAGTATAGCTAGAAATATGCTTTCCTTCTCATACGTTAAATCAAGCTTTTCGATTTTTGATCGTTCGTCTTCATTTACTACTTAAACTGGATGTTATACTCATATGAAATTTTTGTCACGCGCAAGATCACGTGTGGCTCTACGTACGTATAGTCTTAACCTTTAACAGTTTTATATTTTTGACTCATACTACGTACGTGAAGGTCACGCGAGATCACGTGCGTGACAAAATTGCACATGAATCAAGAAATGAATTTACTATTTACATAAGTCAATTGCATAAAAAACCTATTCAGATTTCTCGGCCGCATATGCTATACTTTGCATTTTTTGAACCGGAGAAACAAAAGCGCTACAAGTGCTCTGGACAAACAATGCAAAGAATTTATAAGGAAAGAGAGTATTTTTACGATTCCGGAGAAAAAATTGCTTTTGCAAACAAGTAAAAAACCCTATTATGTTCCGACGTTACCAAGGGAAAATGCATATAATTTAGCAATATCGTTAAAACTGAAGAATTATTTCTATGGCTGTAACTTACTAGGAACACGTTTTTCCATATCATTTAACCTCATGATTCTGTGCACCAGAAGAGGAAGCTCTGGTAAGACCCGTACAAAATACTCTTTATAATTGCCTTCCTTGATATATGGTGACAGTTTTGTACGATGCTCATCATGCCAATGCTGATCAACGTTGTGTATGAATTTTAAGCATCCTAACCATGTAGAGTCGTAGAGTTTCTTGTTGAAATGATCATCGAATTCATGAATGAGACGGTTCATCCAATTGTTGAGACCATTTAACTGCTCATGGACATCTGAGCTGAGAGGATGATCTAAATGCGGTATCTTTATCTCCGGTTGATTCCCAACTTTACACAGCAAGTCAAACTTTTCTTCATCAGATAGTAGATAAGGGTGTTTTAACGCCTCCTTTGCAGATGGCCTGAGTTCGGGTTTATCTTGTAGCATCCATGAAAGAAGATCATTTAGTTCGACATTACTGATTTCCTTCAAGCCAACAGGGTTTCCATCCAACAAATTTTCAAGTATGCACACTTTAGTACCAAAAGGATGTTTTCCTTTTGTTGCAACAAAGTAAGCAACCATTCCTGCATTCTAAAATAAATTAAACATAACAGAGTACGTAAAATGTAAAAATTAAATTTACGTACAATTTGCAAATAGTAACAACCCAATACCTACCATTACATCAGATTCTGTTTTGTAACGTGCTTTATCAAATAAATTTTTATCAACAATATAAGATTCAGGTGCAATCCAATGCTGAGTTCCCCTTTTAGCATTGCTTACATATGTCTGAGAGTCACTCTTCATAATTCGACTAATACCAAAATCGGCTATAAAAAATTTGCCTTGTGTGTCTCGGAGAACATTGGAAGGTTTCAAATCTCGATGAAGAATGGGACGTGGACCGCTATGAAGATCAACTAATCCTTTTAAAATTTGTTTAAGAATGTCGGGAAGTATATTTTGAAGGTAACCCAAACTATTTGATTCGGATAGCACAAAACACTCCAACGATTCTTCACATAGATCGAGAATCAAATGGACATATTCTGTTTCTGTATCTTGTCTCGAGCAATAACAATTTAGCACATAATCCGACTTCTTCGCATTGATTTCATTAAAAATTTTTTCTTCATGCTCTGCCAAATAAGTATCACGAAGAATTCGTTTCACTGCTTTACCGTAACCATCCTTTCCCAGTCCAAGATAAACACGGGTTCCATCACTTCCTTTGCCAAGTAAAAACTCTTCTGAGAAAATTACACGTACATCGTCCACATGTTTAACCTCAACATTAGGGTCTTTCCCATACTCAATTAATTTTAAGAACAATTCTTTATGTTTTGTCGATTTATCATTGTATTTCCATTCATGCAGCTGCAATTCTGAAATAGAAGTAAAAGTATTCCATTTACTGAGAAAGTAATATATTGTAGCTAAATAGTCAAATAATAAATAAATAGCAGTGCTCGAGTTTCACTATTGCACAAACGATTCAGATAGCACATACAATTTGTGAAAAAAAAACTTACAAAAACAACAAATAAACATATTACGACTAGTTATTTAAGCAATGAGTTCTGATAAGAATGGCTCTAAAAAGCTCTTTCTTTTTCATCTTTCTTGCTTTCCCTTATTTTGTATAACTGGCTATATCTGAGACTTTCATTGTAAATCATTACTACATAAATGACATTGTTTTGGTTTTAACCAGGGGTGGATCAATGCTCATTTGGCAGAAGGGGAGTAGATTTTCCAAGGGAGGGGGTCCATCGTAATCTTAGCCAAAGTTACCAAGGCCTCGGGTTGTTATGGCTTTTTATGCTTACGGATAAGTGAATCTTGCGAAATGAAAGTGTAATTAGCTTTTCTTTTACAAAGTTAAGTAAATTATAACTCAAAGTTATATAGCTGTACCATACTTCCTTAAACAATCAACAAAGCTTCATAAATTATGTATCAAAATATTGCCAACGACGAGTTAAACACGAATAAAACAGTCGTTTTCACACATGACAAACAAGGGAGAAGAAAATAAACGGCAAACTAATTTGACATGATAAAACTGCTTACTTCGCGTTAAGTAACTTATTTCGATTTTAATGTTTAAATAAAAACACGCATGGTAGTAACTTAATTGCAAATGGTGGTCATATAAAACATATAATTGTCTTTGAAATGATAATTTCCACTTTTTACTCAGTCCTACTGTACAATTTCCTTACTTCAGATACTGTTATAATATTACTCGACAGTATGTAACCCATTTTAAAGTTTCTGTTGGAGGGTACTAGAGAATTTGGGAGGAGAATATTCGCACCCTCCTGTATTCCCAAGAAAATACGCCCCTGATAATATCCGTCATGTTGCAACTCAAACTTAAATTACAAGTAATTGAGTAAAAAGCTTAATTTGCTTCATTGACTAACCAAATTGATTATATATCTTAAGTTCAAGCCTTTCAAGCCTTTTCCATAGCAAGATGTTTCTTTGGAGGGTCGTTTATATTAAGGCTGTTTTCGCCTCTAAAGTTATCACAAATTTAACTACACTGTTTAAACTAACCAAATAACTAAATGTTTGTAACTTACTTGAAAAGTGTTCTTCGAGATCAGGTCTGTATTTCCATTCATTTAATCTTAAAATTCTGTTCACCAAAAGAGGAAGCCCCGGAAAAACTTGCAGGAAAAACGTTTTATAATTACCATCACCTTGAAGCCGTTTTGGACGAGGTACATCATTCCAATGCTGGTGAACATTTTGTATAAATTTCAAGCAACCCAACCATGTAGCACCGTAATGTCCCAAATTGAAATCACTGAAGACTTCAGGATCAATACAATCCTTCCAATTTTTTAACCCATTTAACTGCTCATAGACATCTGAGTTGAGAGGATGACCTAAATCTGGTATCTTTATCTCTGGTTGGCTTCCCGCATCACACATCAAGTCAAACTTACATTCATCGGATTGTAGATATGGGTGTTTTAACGCCTCGTTGGCAGATGGTCTGAGTTCAGGTTTCAATTGTAGCATCCACGAAAGAAGATCTTTAAGTTCAACATCTACTATGTTTTTCAATTCAACAGGGTTTTTATTCAACAAGTTTTGCAGTCTTGTCGTTAAATCTCCAAAAGAATGTTTCCCTTTTGTGGCAACATAAAAAGCCACTATTCCTGCGTTCTAAAATCCATGAAAACGTAACAGCGTGAATAAAATACTAAAGATATATATTTTTTATTATTTATATGTATTTTGAAAACGGTTGATTTTTAACACATACCATTACATCAGACTCTTTTTTGTAATGTGACTTTTTAATCGACTCATCATCCGGACAATACGATTCGGGAGTAACCCAATGATCAGATCCCCAAGTAAGGCCGTGTTTAAATGTCTTATATTCACTTTTCAGTATTCGACTGATACCAAAGTCAGCAATCAGAAATTTGCCTTGGGCATCTCGGAGGACATTGGAAGGCTTTAAATCTTGATGAAAAATAGGATTTGGCTCGCTGTGAAGATGAGCTAATCCTTTTAACATTTGTCTGAGAATTTCGGGAAGACATTTTTGAAGATCCTGCAATGTAGAAGATTCCACAAAACTTTCCAACGATTCTTCACATAGGTCTAGTATCAAATAGACATAGTCTGTTCCAGTGTTCTCTTCTAAGTAGTAATATTTCACAACATCATTCGATTTTTTTTCGATGATTTCTTTAAAAATTCTCTTTCCTTGTTGTGTAAGCCCAATGCAGATATCACAAGGTATTCGTTTCACTGCTTTTCCATAACCATCCTTTCCCAGTCCGAGATAAACACAAGTTCCATCACTTCCTTTGCCGATGCAAAATTCTTCGGAGAAAATTACACGGACATCGTTTATATATTCAACCTTGACTTTGGGATCTTGTCCATATTTAATCATTTTTAAAAACAATTGATTATGTTTAGTTGATTCATCAACGAATTTCCACTGATATTCTGAAATTGAAGTAAAAATATTACTCTTACTCCGCCATTGCCCAATGATTTGGATAGGAATTAAAAGCACATCAACCTAATTACAACCATTTTATAAATCACTCATTAAAGCAATCGGTTCAGGTAAAGTATTATTGGTATAATGCATCCAGGGGCGAAACTAGAGCGCTAATTGGGGAGAGGTGGGGGTGTGTGTGTGAATATTCATACATTAAGCCCTGCTGATTTCTTTTGAAATTAAAATCGCCAACAAGAGAAATGTCTTTATTCCGAAATGTCGAAATGATATTATTTTTTCTTAAATATCTGCATTTTTGTGCGTAGTGCTTAGTTTCTTTTGTATTTCTTCAGACTCCCAAATAGAAGTAAGTGCCATCACTTCTTCATCAGACCAGGTTTCTCCGCGTTTCGACATATTTGCTTAAATAATAAAATAGAGACTTTGTCGTGGTGACAAATCTTAAAATAGTTCTAAAGATAGCAAATACAATAGTGAATGGTAAAAGTAATATAATAAGTTGATAGTTCTTAAAAGAACTGTTTTAAGTAAAGAGCACTAAACCAATAGTTCTAAATTAAACGACACGATGCATTTCGATTGTGTTCGTGTTGCATGTTCACATTATCATGCAGACTAAACTAATCCGATTCTAGAAATTTTGAGGTGGCCCAAATATTTCTGATCGAATTCGTTTTCGCATTACTTGTAAGTGTTCACATTAGCTCTCGTACGGACTCGAATCGATTTCGAATCGATTTAAAGTGTTAGCCCTAAAGTAGCACAAGTTTCCAAATTGAGAATTCGAATAGCAACATGCAAATCGTCAAAACAACTTATATATCATAAACTACTCGTTAAAACAAACAATGTTAGCAAGAGTGAAGCATATAGCTGATAACTGATATAATTGAATACAATGCATCCTTTCTCCAGATTAGGGCAATCAAGCTTTTAAACAGGCAAATTCAGGTAGAATTTTTACGACTAAGATCAACTTTTGTAAAAAAATTAAAGTTATTTTGTTGAAAATATGCATGTGCGTTAAAAAAGAAAGCGTATTCCACACTAAACATTTCTGTGAAAAACAACCTGTTTTATACGTCGCATTTTACATGCGTCGAATGCATTTAAAACAAAAGAAATAAAATTCCTCATTAGTTTTGTATGCAATCGACTCATGTAAGATGCGACGTAAAAAACAGGCTTTATGTAAATTTTAAATGATGAATTTCAAGTGCTAGCAATAAATCTATAGTTAATATACAAGGTGTATAGAAAATGGTTGACTCTAGGAAAAAAGTTCTCGAAAAGTAGATGCACGCTAAATAACCAAAAACCTTTACTAATTTTAAGTATTTTAACGTTCTTTGACCTAGCAGACACTTAAAATTCGGAACATGCAAGATTTTTTACGTTGTTGTTAAAAATCCTTCAAAACAGACCTTTTGAAAAAAATGATCAAAAGAAAAACAATTCTATCGTAATCTCAAATTTTTGGTGCACGCGCTGAAAACATGGATTTTTGCGTTTTTACATTTCATACCTTGCTTTATACAACAAATACATTTTCAAGAATTGGAGTTGATAATTTCATATTGTAATTTATGCAAATTCCCGATAGTATATAAATTGAAATTGATATGATAGAACAAACTTTGTTTGAAATGCACAAACTCGAAAAAGTTTGCTAAAGCGTGCACCAAATTACTCGAAATTTTGATAGGTTGCGCAACACAGTCCATATTTTGAATCTGGGTGATTAAATTGCTATTCCAATTATTAATTTTTGTGCACAGCGCCTGTTTTGAGTGACTGTTAAGAACAGATCATACCACAATTCCCCTCTTTCAAGAACAGTTTCTCGCCAACGAAGGTGTGAGGTTTTAGAGAGCAGCAATTACCCATGTATGGAATCTACTGTTAGTTACAAGTCAACAGAAGATTCTTCTTTGTTGTGTCAGTTGTAGTGGCCGATTGTTAAAGTCATCCGTCTAAAGACAAAAAAATCAACTTTATCGTTAGAGCCTCTACTTCAAATGCATACAAATATTCATTAATCACAAAGTAAATGAAAACTTTCATTTCGAATTTTGAATACTTACTCCACTCGAGAATTTACATCTGCCCTCCCCCCCTCCTACACACACACATGATGGAAGATTTAAGTTGGTATTATGTGAAGAACATTCCTTTGAAGTATTTCTTAACATGTCATTGACGTAGCAAGACACATTTTTTTGGTGTTATTTTCTTAGAGATTTAAGGTTAGTTATATTCATTGATAATAGCACGAAATTACTCAAGGTTTACAGCACCAAACCCTCCCCATCACAAATGACTTGGCTCTCACTATATTTGAGAATTTCATATTAAGTAGATGACATAACAATGCTCTAAGAGGATTCTAAAGTTTTGACAAAATAAACACAATATAAATTGCTGTTTAAGTCGCAAACACTTTTTTTTTATCCGTTTACGTACAACAAAACAAATTTATAGATATTTTTGTCACGCCTTGCAGCAACGGACCTAAATCTTACAGCTGGCAAATTTGATATTTTTGTTTACAAAATGGATTTGGGATGAGCGTGCAGTCCCAGCATGTAGTTTGGCACACGAGGATTACACCTCGATTACACACGTGATACTCGTGGTTTCTACCATTGCTTTATCTGCTGCGTAGCAGTGGCGTAGACTGCTTCATCAATAATTGGGGAGCCAATACTGATATATGCATGTTGTAGTCTGCAGAAAACAATGGATTTCAAAGGAATTTAATACAGGTTATAAATGAATATTGCCCTTCCAATTATCGAGCTGGCTACGCCTCTGCTACGTAACCATAGCCTGACATTGTGGATGGGTGATATGATACCATTCATTTTGGGGGACATCAAAACCAGATTTTCATACCAATTGCACTTTATTTGAACAGTTTTTTACATTTCACAATATACTATACAACAATCAAATTTGTGAAAACTTTCTTCCAAGCATATAGGGGTAATTTTACTAACTTTAACAATGATTTCTTCAAAATTGTAAAATCTTGAAAACATTTTCTAAAACACAATGAGGCATTTCATAAAGTATTTGATTGCCAAGTGTATAAATGAGTAATAGCAAAACAATACTTGGTATTAGTATGAATATTTTACACAAATCATTTGTATGATGGTATTTGATATTGACCAACAGATCAACTCCTACCTAATCTTGTTTAAATAAAAACAATGTATCTCGCCACAAACATATTTGACTAAAGTATAGAAGCTATTTTTATTTTTAACTTTGCTTGTCACATATTTTAGTGCATAAAGTTATACAAAATGGTGCATTAAATTTGATTACTCATTTCTTTTGTGCTAGCTTTAGCATTTCAGATTTTGGTTGCATTTTTAATCTTATTTTCAGTATAAACAAAATATCACAACTTATTCACACATAGCTAAAGATTTCACACCTACGCAATTCTTCTATTTTGATTATGGAAGCATTTGATTCTTTTCAAAACCTCATCAGATCAAAATAACAGCTTTGCTTTCATGCCAGTAGATAAACCTTACAAAATTTTCAAGTTATATCTGTAGAGCCCCAAACTGATTTTTTGTATAAAATGTAAAGATTTAAAATGCTATGATATCTATTATGAACCAAACCCAATCTATACATAATATAAATCTTAACACGGTTTTTATATGAACATGAAAAACATGTGACTTCGATAAGATTTGAACTCACACCTTCAGGATACTAGTCCGTCGCTCTACCTGTTGAGCTACCAAGCCCACAAGGATTGGAGACAAGTCAAATCTCTTAGGATTTATATTATGAACCTAACCTAATCTATATACAGTTAACACAAGAAGTTTTTATTTTGACAATGTCTTAACCTGGCAAAGAAATGAAGAACATAATTCTATTTGATTGTAGATCACACCAGAGAGATTGAGTACTGATAAGTATGTCTTTAAATAAGTTTTACAACATTCACAAGACATGTGAACAATGTGGGGAATCTAAATTCAAACAACAAGTCCTTTGCTTTGCACAAGTGGCATCATTAAGAACTAAATTATATGGCTTGCATTCCCAATGCAAATTACTTTCACTATATGTAATTAATAAAAGCAAAGCTTACTTTTACTTATAATGTAATTCTTCATAATGGTTTTTCTTCATTTCAAGAGCTCTGAAATGAAGAAAAGTGTTTCAAGTGTTAACGTATCATGCATGGTTAGTTATGTTTATAAGCTTCATATTTGTGCATTTATTCTCGTTAGCTTTTACTTTCAGCAAAAAACAATTTGGGTGTTTTGGCAAAATTATAATATATCAATGACTGCTAATTTGTCAAGCAAGTGACCCTTATCCATTTTATTTTCACACATACAGCGCTTACAGCGTTTTACGAACTCTATCTACTTTATTGATTCATGTATTTTTTTATGTACATGCATGTCAAGTATTTATCTATGTCATTACCTATTTTACAATCTTGAATTTTTCTTACAGTCGTGAACTCAAGTTTTTTCGGGGTCAATATATTCTAGTTATTTTACAACACAGAAGAGAACACAAACTTAAGCGGCTCGAAACTAAGAAGTTGTTTCTTTATTTACATTAATGTTCACAACACCTATCGCTGATAGAAATAACGCAAAATAGTTCACATACAAACGACAAACCGAAAGATCGAGAAAGATAAAGCCAAGACAAGACTTCCCAAAAGTAATCTTTATTAAAAGGTTTACTTACGTGTCAATTTACAACTCTGATACTAACACCATCGTCACAGAGAATGCACAGAATACTAACTTAATTAACTATACCCCACTGATCAACTTACTGCCTGGATAAATATTCATAGGATAACGATTTACGAATGATAAGTGGCTAAAAATATGGCCGACGACCCCCGTTTCGCGTTTTTAGGAATTTAATCTTCAATTCAGAAATTTCTAGAGTTGGCACTGATACAATGTTATACTATTTAGGTAAAATAAACAAGAATTCAATTAAAATAACGAAACATGCATGGAGGCAATTAATAAGCTAGAGTGAGTAGAGTCCCTCGGCAGTATTCATACTTTGAATTCCATACACACCAATGATACACACTACAATAATAGAATCAATGGAAATTAACCGAGAATGTGGATCTTGACCTAACAAGTAACAAATGACTGAAAGAGACAGATCTGGCTAAGTATTTAAAAGACTGAAATTTATAAATGCAAGCTTGTGGCTTAAAACATACGATCTTTAGTCTCAAGAAAAATGCATCACAACTAAGCCTGAATAAACAAAAATTCAACAAAAATTCAACTTTGACTTCGTCATCATTAACCTCAACGTACACAGATTTTCTTTTAACAATTTGAATACTGCAACAAAGGAAATACTAGGAAATGGTTACAACCTCACATAAAAGTGTCATTTTATTAAGATATTACCGATTTTCCCAATTGAATAAGTTGTTTTTTTCATGCGTATCAATCTTTTACCCTTTGCAGTGTACTGTATTGACGTACATAAACTGAATAGCGTTCTAGTACATTGAACTCACGCTCGGAGCTCATACGAAAGACTTATATAACGCTAAAGTACAACGGATTTTGAGCACAGATCGAGCAACTCCTTATTTGCGGTACAAGTCATGACATTCATATTATATTGTAATATATAGTTATATGTATAGTGGATTCTCAGGTTAGCAGTCCGGTAGATCCGTGAGTCGGAATCGTATAGATTGTAAGTAAATAATTTTTATTCGATCTAGTAAATAATGATATAGTATGAATAACAAATGTGCTCTGTTTAACAGTATATCAAACGTAAATACATGAACTCACTTCTTTGCCGGGTCCTCACGATCTACATTAATTTCAATTCAGGTTAGCCGATATAATAAAGTAATAAAATGATTAAGCTTTCGCCAGGTTAGCATGTGGTAACTGTCAGCTGCACTATAGACTAAAATCCTTTACTACCGTGAAATTGGCACCACATTGGGAACGACATTCAACACAACATTCATCACAACATTCAACACCACATTCAACTAAAATTTATCATTCAAAATGATAAATCGAAAAATCGTCTTTAAAACACGTTTTCCATCAAATACAACAGTAAAAAACAATTCTTAACTGTTTATTATTATTTTACTGTCCTTAACCATCACAAAAAATGTATAAAAGTCAAGAAATTGAAGAAAACACTAAGATTTATATTACAGTGTACTTTCCATTTCTTTAATTAGCGTATAATTTAAAAACTACATGGTAGAATTTTTTTAAACTTGGCCAGAATATAGATAATTATATTGCCTAAAATATATCCAAAATCTGGAGAGTGCACAAAAAAATAAGTTGTAGAAAATCATCGGCAAAGTCGGATGACACGAATACGCGTAATATGATCTTTAATTATTAAGTTAAGAATTTCAAGTCATTGCTAAACAAAGGCCTGTAAATAAAAAACTACACGGTAGAATTTTTTTAAACTTGGCCAGAATATAGATAATTATGATGCCTAAAATATATCCAAAATCTGGAGAGTGCACAAAAAAATAAGTTGTAGAAAATCATCGGCAAAGTCGGATGACAAGATTACGCGTAATATAATCTTATATAATTAACTTCCTATATCCAGGTATCTTTGCAAACAAAGGCATGTAAATAAAAAACTACACGGTAGAATTTTTTTAAACTTTGCCAGAATATAGATAATTATGATGCCTAAAATATATCCAAAATCTGGAGAGTGCACAAAAAATAAGTTGTAGAAAATCATCGGCAAAGTCGGATGACAAGATTACGCGTAATATAATCTTATATAATTAACTTCCTATATCCAGGTATCTTTGCAAACAAAGGCCTGTAAATAAAAAACTACACGGTAGAATTTTTTAAACTTGGCCAGAATATAGATAATTATGATGCCTAAAATATATCCAAAATCTGGAGAGTGCACAAAAAAATAAGTTGTAGAAAATCATCGGCAAAGTCGGATGACACGATTACGCGTAATATAATCTTATATAATTAACTTCCTATATCCAGGTATCTTTGCAAACAAAGGCCTGTAAATAAAAAACTACACGGTAGAATTTTTTCAAACTTGGCTATATTGTAGATATTTTTATTGTCTATAACATATCCAAAATCTGGAGAGTGCACAAAAATAAAAAAGGAATAGTATTCCTTGTGAATAAACCGTGAAGTTGGCACCACATTCGACAAACAGCTCTATAGCTAAAAAACTACACGGTAGAATTTTTTTAAACTCAAGTATATTATAGAATTTTATATTATCTAAAATACATCCAAAATCTGGAGAGTGCACAAAAATATAAATGATAGAAAAACATCGACAAAGTTGGATGACTCAAATGCGCGTAACATGATCTTGCATAAATAAGTTAAGAATTCCGGTTCTTTAACAAACAAAGCCCTATAAATAAAAAACTACACGGTAGAATTTTTTTAAACTCAAGTGTACTATAGAATTTTATATTGTCTAAAATATATCCAAAATCTGGAGAGTGCACAAAAAAATAAATGATAGAAAATCATCGACATAGTTAGATGACACGAATTCGCGTAATATAATCTTGCATGTGATGAACAGTTGTTTTTATTTTGCTTTGTTGTGACGTGCGCGTGCATTTCACGTGATTGAAATTTTGGGATTATCACAGAAGGGGGGAGTTGTTGTTGAAAATAAAAGAATTCGAGATGTTGTTGTTGTTGAATAACGTTGTGTTTTTCTTTTGACGACTTCGTTGTAAAAAATAACGATTTAATCATTCTACCGTGTACTTTTCTATTTACAGGCCTTTGTTAAACAACCGGAATTTTCAACTTAATTATATAAGATCATATTACGCGCAGTTGAGTTATCCAACTTTGTCGATGTTTTTCTATCATTTATATTTTTGTGCACTCTCCAGATTTTGGATATATTTTATACAATAAAAATATCTACAATATGGCGAAGTTTAAAAAAATTCTACCGTGTAGTTTTTTATTTATAAGGCTTTGTTTGTTAAAGAACCGGAATTCTTAACTTATTTATGCAAGATCATATTACGCGCATTTGAGTCATCCAAATTTGTCGATGTTTTTCTATCATTTATATTTTTGTGCACTCTCCAGATTTTGGATGTATTTTATACAATAAAAATATCTACAATATGGCCAAGTTTAAAAAATTCTACCGTGTAGTTTTTTATTTACAGGCCTTTGTTTGCAAAGATACCTGGATATAGGAAATTAATTATATAAGATTATATTACGCGTATTCGTGTCATCCGATTTTGCCGATGATTTTCTACAACTTATTTTTTTTGCACTCTCAGGCATCATAATTATCTATATTCTGGCAAAGTTTAAAAAAATTCTACCGTGTAGTTTTTTATTTACATGCCTTTGTTTGCAAAGATACCTGGATATAGGAAGTTAATTATATAAGATTATATTACGCGTAATCTTGTCATACGATTTGCCGATGATTTTCTACAACTTATTTTTTGTGCACTCTCCAGATTTTGGATATATTTTAGGCATCATAATTATCTATATTCTTGCCAAGTTTAAAAAAATTCTACCGTGTAGTTTTTTATTTACATGCCTTTGTTTGCAAAGATACCTGGATATAGGAAGTTAATTATATAAGATTATATTACGCGTATATGTGTCATCCGACTTTGCCGATGATTTTCTACAACTTATTTTTTTGTGCACTCTCCAGATTTTGGATATATTTTAGGCATCATAATTATCTATATTCTGGCCAAGTTTAAAAAAATTCTACCGTGTAGTTTTTTATTTACATGCCTTTGTTTGCAAAGATACCTGGATATAGGAAGTTAATTATATAAGATTATATTACGCCTATATGTGTCATCCGACTTTGCCGATGATTTTCTACAACTTATTTTTTTGCACTCTCAGATTTTGGATATATTTTAGGCATCATAATTATCTATATTCTGGCAAAGTTTAAAAATTCTACCGTGTAGTTTTTATTTACATGCCTTTGTTTGCAAAGATACCTGGATATAGGAAGTTAATTATATAAGATTATATTACGCCTATATGTGTCATCCGACTTTGCCGATGATTTTCTACAACTTATTTTTTTGTGCACTCTCCAGATTTTGGATATATTTTAGGCAATATAATTATCTATATTCTGGCCAAGTTTAAAAAAATTCTACCATGTAGTTTTTAAATTATAGGCTAATTAAGAGAAATGGAAAGTACACTGTAATATAAATCTTAGTGTTTTCTTCAATTTCTTGACTTTTATACATTTTTTGTGATGGTTAAGGACAGTAAAATAATAATAAACAGTTAAGAATTGTTTTTTACTGTTTTATTTGATGGAAAACGTGTTTTAAAGACGATTTTTAGATTTATCATTTTGAATGATAAATTTTAGTTGAATGTGGTGTTGAATGTTGTGATGAATGTTGTGTTGATTGTCGTGCCAATGTGGTGCCAATTTCACGGTAGTCTAAAATTGTTGTTGCCGAAGGACTTTTAGCTATGATTTCTTTAATGCTTGGGGAATCGTGGCCGTTATATGGCATCGAAATCCTACATTTCTGCAAATATATTTCAATGGACAAAAAATCTGTAGCCATAAGGTGCCATACTATTATTTACTTTATCATAAACAAATGTTTGGGGCTTTTCAGTTTATGATCATTGATCGTTCAATCATTGGACAGTTATACTACATATTTTAGGCAATATAATTATCTATAATTATCTATAAGATTTGAGAAAACTAACATTGATTACATGAGAAGCTGTTTACTATAACCTGTGATTT